CCCGCTTCTTTCAAAAATCACTTACTCTTTTCCCTGCTTTTCCAAAAATCACTTACTCTTTTCCCTGCTTCTCCTTCTTTCTTCCCCACCCCCGGGCCCCGCTCTTTTCCCTCCCCCCCCTCCTTGTCTTCTTTTTTTAAAGATTCTTCACATCATCCACGGAAGCACCTTTTATTTAACACCTTTAAAACGTAGTGATCATACTGAAGAACTGCTAGGAATAGAATTTAAGGCATGAGGACATTTATTCTAATCATAGGTTAATATTTGCTGTTTGTTTGGGTTCTTAAGGCGTTTCCTTGGATTTTAGAGGAATCCCACAAAACTTAAAAGAACACATTGGTCGAGCGTATTCTTTAATTTGTATATTCTTATCATTATCTGAATTTTCTCTGAGATCTGTAAAATTTGAAACGTTACATTAAAACACTGTTAACTGAATACTGAGAAGTAGTCATGTCAGACCATCTTTAGGAACTTAAGAGAGGTTTGTAATTCAAAGAACTGAATAATAATGGGCAATATATGCGTGACTTACCATGGTCCATAAATGCCTCTTAATTTTTCATACAAATTAATTCACTTAATCTATGTTCGTAGCAGTGCCATAAGGTAAGTATTATTATCAGATAAGATGACAGGCAGAAAAGATAAGCAGATTTTTCAGGTATCACAGGCAAATCTTGGTGGAGCCATGACTGAATGTAGAAAGCCTACCCTGAATCTGAACACTTAGAGACTGTTCTACACCGCCACCAAAACATGGCTTCCACCCATTTTGTTGAGCATGGAAACATTAGCAGGTGGCCGATGACTTCTCTTCCTAGAAGAACAGTGAATTTAAAGAAAAATTCAGAGAAAAGCCACCTTGGTCATTTTTCTACCGGGGATCAATATTATGCCAAGGAGCAGAATGGCACCCAGGACTCAGCATTTTTTTTTTTTTTTAATAACAGTTTCTTGTTATTACTCAACTGAAAAATTTTAAACATAAAAAAAACTTTACCATAATGGGTGGCAGAATAAGGTTAAAAAATGGTGTAAGACTGGTCATTACTGACTGGTGGTATATAACCTGAGATCATATAATTTTTTTATGTAATATATGCATATATTTGGCCATTTCTACACTAAAAATTAAAAGGAAAAGAAGCTACATCTGGGAGAAGGAAGAAGTTATTCAGAAACAGTTTATCCCTTGGCTTTGGAACATTTTTGGCATTAATCCAGTAGGGTAAAATTGTCTCAAATAACATTGCTGAGTATACAAACAAATAGCAGATCATACTTGCTTCCTGCCATTTGCTTCCTCAGGTTTTTGTTTATTTGTTTGCTTGTTTTAGGTCCAGTTCACTGGCTGGACCATCTATGGAGAAGATCTGTCATGTTCTATTTATATATGCACTTAGGAGACCCGGTTCAACACTTTATAACTTTCTTAAACTGCATTTCAATCAAGAAGGAAAAAAAAAATCAATCCCATATAGAAATATATTCAACAGAAATTAAGGAATGAAGATTCAGTATTTTTTTTTAAAGATTTTATTTATTTATTTGACAGAGAGAGATCACAAGCAGGCAGAGAGGCATGCAGAGAGAGAGGAGAAGCAGGCTCCCTGCTGAGCAGAGAGCCCGATGCGGGGCTCGATCCCAGGACCGTGAGGTCATGACCTGAGCCGAAGGCAGCGGCTTAACCCACTGAGCCACCCAGGCGCGCCCAAGATTCAGTATTTTGTACAGGCATATTATACAATGGAAGAAAGAAAAAATTGGTAATTTTGATTCCTACAATGCTTCCCATCTTACTGAAAGAAACAGAATTGTAAAAATGAAACTGACAGTTTAGTCATAGAATTTAACTCTTGAGATAAAATAGCAACATACAGTGAAAGAAAGTAAATAGTATAAGCAATGCTGAACAGAATTAGACTAAATGAAGAGAAAAACTGTTTAATCTTTTCACAAAGAGGACTATGACACTGAGATTAAAAAGAGCATTGAAGAAGATGAAATCATGGTAACAGTTCCTATTCTTAACAAATGGGATATAAGGGGCGCCTGGGTGGCTCAGCGGGTTAAGCCGCTGCCTTCGGCTCAGGTCATGATCTCACGGTCCTCGGATCGAGCCCCGCATCGGGCTCTCTCTGCTCAGCAGGGAGCCTGCTTCCTCCTCTCTCTCTGCATGCCTCTCTGCCTGCTTGTGATCTCTCTCTGTCAAATAAATAAATAAAATCTTTAAAAAAAAAAAAAAAAACAAATGGGATATACTTCTGTGAAATAATGAGATTATAACACAAGGAGTCACTGATAAAACTGTTACAGACGAAAATGGATAAATCATTACATATAATGAGATTTAACCATCACTGTGAGAAAAATGATAGGTAATTAGAAAAAGGAATAGAATATAAAAAGAAAGCAACCTTTCTATCCATGGTTCCACATTACCAAAAGCCTAATGATAAAGAAAGTATTTCTGGGTCTATTAATAAATTACAGACACAATTATCATTAATTATAATAACAATCGACCTCTCAAATCCAAACATGCGTCCTATCAACCTTTTGTCTAACAAACACCTGTACAGCACCTTTCTCTCACTCTGTGAAAGGCACTATGCTATGCATGTTACAAATATAAACTTATTTCCTGTGATGAAGTTTGAGATATTCATTCAAAAAAAAAACCTCAGTTGTGTTGCACAGGCTCACAGAAGGTACAAAAAGGAATAAGACATCATCTCTGCTCCTAACGATGCTTCAAATTTCATGGCTGAGACAAGACACTTGCCCAACTCCAAAGAGGATTTTCGGTGAAAATTACAAATGTATGCTTTGGGGAAGAAGAAAAGCTAACTTGACCTAAGGGACCAGTATAGGTGCCTGGGAAGGAGTTGGCCAAATCATTATGCCACATCAGGATGGAGATAGAGGAAGGTCATGCCAAACGGACGAACATGATGAACATAGGTGTAGAGGCAAAAAAGAATAGGAGAGCCATGGTGGTCCAGCTTCGCCAGATCCGTAGACAGGGCTATTATGAACCTGCACAAAGGGGTTTTGGTGAGGGAACAACGGAAGCTGACATCCAACTCATGCTCTGTTCATCTCACTATATGCCCCGGCTCTGTGTTGTATCAGCCTAAGAAAGGGCAGCCTTTCATAAAGTATAAAAGGTACTCTCAGTCGGACTGGGTTGGAAGCGTTCTTTTATCCTCTATGAAGGAGAGTGAGTTTATCACAAAGCAATGGATGGCCTAACTCTAGTAAGACTATGGAAAAACGATGACTCTCTTATAAACCCACTGACAGTCATACAGGTATGAAGGATTGGTCGTCTGAAAAGGTCCGGGAGGCAGTGAATGAATTATATCACCTAGGCCTGGCTAAGGTCTTGGAAAGGGCAATGTTCAAAGATATTTTTTAGACTAATGAACTTAGAATGAACTTCTTTATTTTTGCATATAGATGACTGGAGACAATTGGGAATGACTGGGAAATGATTCCCCAGAAATGTAGGGGACAAAAAAGGCGAACAAGCAGCTCAAGGTCTAGTCAGATCATATTTCAGCCCACAGGTATACTCTGTGGACAAACAAGAATGATAAACACGGCATAAGCCAGCTCTGAATTTAGAAACAGCTTAGAGAGTACAAAGTCTATAAGAATACTCTATAGCCACATTAAATAAACGAACCAGAGCAGGTAGGGGACTTTATGAAGGAAAGACTGTTGAAAGATAGGTCTTTATGAATGAAAACATGTCGACTAAAGCACAAGTTATGTCAACAAGAAGAACATAAGGTCAAAAATGGAATCTCTGGGGAACACCAACATCTAAATTTGGAGACAAAAATACAACTGCTTGGATGATGAATGAGTATGAGCAGGCAGAGAGATTAAAACGACGACCCCCCCCCCACCAACGCACACACAAATCCAACTAGATAAGGGATACCTCTGAGAAGAGTATGACCAATAATTCCAAAGCCATCAGGGAAATCCAGTAAGTTTAAGACGGAAAGCATCCACTGCCTCTTATTGGGGGGAGGACTTCGTGATCTCAGAAGCATCCATATAAGTAAGTTGGTAGCAAAAAACCAATCATGAACCCTCAGGACTGAAATGGAGGGGACAAATGGAGAGATGGAAAGAAGCCTACTCTTTTCAGGAGCTTCTGTTGGAAACGAATAGAGGAGAGTTTAAAGAATGAGCCCAGGGGGAGACTTTTGGCATTGTTGTTTTGTAATTTTCCAGTATGAAACTGCCTTGACCTCCATCTTGAAAGAAAAAAGTCAGTAGAAAGAATCACTGAAGTTTTAGACGTGCATTGATGGTCCTAGCTGAGGAAGGAGAGGAAGGGCAGGAGACAACTCAGTTTTGTCTAAGGCGAGACAATTTAGCCACGACCATCCGAGTAAGGATTTCAAGCACAGGAAATCTCAAACAGGGGGACAGAACGGAGACCTTGGGAGCTGCTTCAACAAAATGGCTACCCTCATGCACCAGGAGCATAAGGACATCGGTCGAGTCCAGAACAGTCCCAGCAGGCTATGGAACTGAAAGAGCTAATGTGAATAGACACTGAGATAATTAGAATTTTTTTTTTAATTTGGACACCTAAGCTCTTAATAATTCACATATATCCAGTAACTTTCTGGGAAGCTGATGAGTTAAGGGGAAAAGAAACTTCACTTGGGATATTATAACAGATTTGTCTTGTCAAAGTATAAAAAATTGAACATGTATTGTCCTAAATTAGTCTCTCCATTTTTAACAGGGTTTCGCTGACAAAAATAAGAGGGAACTTTAGGGCTTTACTTTACACTCCCAACTTTATACCCTACCACCTAAAGGGGAAGGCTTCTGTACATCCCTGGACAGCTACAGGCAAATCAAAAGTGAGGTCGGTCATTGATCCACATTTGAGGGACTTTCCTCACTGCAAAGTGAAGCTGCTCACATTAAAACATCACCAGTTTATTTTATATTGCTTTTTTTTTTCATTTTAAACAATATTCAAGTTTATTAAACAAATTTAAAAAAAGTATTATAAAATGTTTAACTGTCATCAGCTTCGAGGTTTATGTTGCTCCCAAATTTTGCATATAACTGAACTTTCAGATCCACTAACACTCGCTGAATTGATTCCACTCTGGCTTCTAAGGCGTCAATTTCTTCTTGCAAATTTTTCTTTGCTTCTTCTAACATTTCCTGTGTTTCTTCTTGAGAATGGCTAATGAAAACATCACCAATTTGATAAGGTATCATTAAGCAATCATCATCTGCAAGCATGATGTCCTCACAAGCATCTTCTAAATTCTGGAGTTGTTTCTTTTTAACTTCTATTTCCTCCTTCAGCTCTGTGATTCTACTCGTGTTCCGTGCAAATTTGTTTATCTTTTGTTGATCTTCAAAAGTAACGTTGACATCTTCTGCAGCCGCCTTCTTCATGGTGGCCGCCATCTTGGGACTGTTATATTGCTTTTTTATTCTTCTACTTAAATATCATTTATTAAGCACCAACTGTATTCCATATGCTGTGCTAGACTTGATAAAAAAAAAAATGCAAAACAAAATACTTTATGGGGTTAATTCCTGAAAAGGACCCATTTTAAAAAAATACTTTATTTTCAAATATATATTAAAAAATATATTTTTTATATTCAAAAAATATATTTTTTATATTCAAAAAATATATTTTTTAAGTTGGATGGTCTCTTAGGAATGAACATAACTCTGCAAAGTATGAAGCTCTGCACTCCAGAAATAGGAAATGAATGAGTGGACCCCCGTATCCCTTAGTGGAAGGAGAGGTCATTATCAGAAAACAGGGCACAGGAGGTCTAGTTCCAGAACTGACTTGTCAAAACTTCAAGACCAGGTCACAAACACAAACAATACAAACAAAACATGAGGCTGTTTCAAGAAGAAAATAAACAAAGCTACCTGCAACTTTAGCTTCCATCTCAGAAAATGTACTTAAATTCTGTATAACAGGGGCATCTGGGTGGCTCAGTTGGTTGGGTAGTAGACTCTCGATTTCAGCTCAGGTCATGATCTCAGGGTCTTAAGAGGAGCCCCATGTTGGGCTCTGTGCTCAGCAGGGAGTCTGCTTGAAGATTCTCTCCCTCTGTCCCCTCCCCCCATGGGCATGTGCCCTCTCTCTCTCTCAAATAAATACATAAATATTTAAAAATATATAAATTCAAGGGGCGCCTCTGTGGCTCCGTTGGTTAAGCATCTGCCTTAGGCTCAGGTCATGATCCCAGGGTCCTCAGATTGAGCCCCATGCCCAGCTAACTGCTCAGTGGGGAGCCTGCTTCTCCCTCTCCCACTCCCGCTGCTTGTGTTCCCTCTCTCGCTGTGTCTCTCTCTGTCAAATAAATAAAATCTTTAAATAAATAAATAAATGAATAAATAAATAAATTCAAGATAATAGTTCAGAAAGAGCAAAGTTCCTACAATGATAAAATATAATTTTGAGGCCAATAGAATTATGGTTATACAAATATTCTAAAAAATTGTCCTTTTAGAAAGATGATTATACAAATATTCTAAAAATCTTTCTCCAAACATTCCAAGATACTCTAAAGGAAAAAAAAAAAAATTGGAAATGGTATATCACGCTGAAGAAGAATCAGAAAAAATTTATGGAAGTCATGAAATATTATCATCTGGAAAAATATGATACAAAGGAAAAAATGTACAAAATGGATATGTACATAGTATCTGATAATAGTACTAAAACCATTAAATGAATTAGCCATGGAAAAACAGGATACCTAGGGTTTTTCATATCTTTATATTTCACTTCTATTTTTTCATTTGAAAACTTTGGCTTGTAACGATTCTGATTTTTTTTTTTAAGATTTTATTTGTTTATTTGACAGAGAGAGATCACGAGTAGGCAGAGAGGCAGGCAGAGAGAGAGGAGGAACCAGGCTCCCCGCTGAGCAGAGAGCCAGATGCAAGGCTCCATCCCAGGCCCCTGGGATCATGACCTGAGCTGAAGGCAGAGGCTTAACCCACTGAGCCAATCAGGAGCCCCCTGATTATTTTTTTTTTAAACTTCATTTAGGTACCATTTATGTGCCATAAGGTTTACCATTTTAAGCATATAATTCTATTAATTTTAGTATATTTACAGAATTTTGCAACCATCACATCTAATTTTAGAATATTCCCATCACCCTAAAAAGAAACCTTATGCCTATTTATAGACACTAACAGGCTTTTTCTTTCTCTCTCTCTTTTTTTTTTTTTTTAAGATTTTTCATTTATTTATTTGAGAGAGAGAGAGAGAGAGAGAGAGAGAAGGAGTGGGGGTAGGGGCAGAGGGAAAGGGAGAAGCAGACCTCCTGCTGAGCAGGGAGCCCAATGTGGGACTCAATCTCAAGACTCTGGAATCATGACTTAAGCCAAAGGCAGATGTTCAACCAACTGAGCCACTCAGGCCCTCCCACTAATGAAATTTTTTTTTTAAAGATTTTTTATTTATTTATTTGACACAGAGATAGAGATCACAAGTAGGCAGAGCAGCAGGCAGAGACAGAGGAGAAGCAGGCTCCCTGCTGAGCAGAGAGCCCAATGCGGGGCTCGATCCCAGGACCCTGAGATCATGACCCAAGCTGAAGGCAGAGGCTTTAACCCACTGAGCCACCCAGGTGCCCCCCACTAATGAAATTTTTAATAACAATTTTAGAAACAACATTTAATGATTTGGTACTCTACAAAATGGTATTCACATAAAAGTCATGATTGGAAAATGAGTTTGATATTAAAACCTATGACCCTTACCATCTAAAATATTCAACTTCTGGAAGCATCTGGATAATCCTTTATAGAACTTGAGAGAAGTTCAAGGCACAATAAAGTAAAATCCTGATGTAGAGCTCGTAATAATTATGACAGTCATCTTCTTTTTTATTTATTAATTTTTTTTAAGGCTCTGAATTCCTCCCTTCTGCCCACTTTGTAAAAGTGGATCTGAGCCCTTTAAATATTTTTCCTTGCCAGTTGCACGATGTTAAACCTTGCTGGTAGAAGGCACTAGAAAGACACCACAGAAGAAAAGGGTTTTGCATCCCGGTTCTAGCATATCAACTGGCAGGCTCCCGTGGCAGGACTGGCTTCCCCAGCACCACAGTCCTATAACGTAAGGCTCTCCTTCTCAGGTGCACAGTGACCAGCAGCTTCCGAGACACCCCCACAGCCAGTCTGGTAGCTAAATGCCTCTTAAGAGACAACTTCCTGTGTAGAGCTTTCTCCAACAACCGAGGGGGTGGATTTCCTGAAAGGTCTGCTGGCCTGTCTTCACAATGACTTCTTTGCCATCCAATGACCCAAGGCCATGTTGTCTCCAAAAAGGTCTGGATCTCAGCTCCAGAGAACTCTTCTTTGGGTGCTGTATCTCAGCACTGAGGATAGTGGCTATACTATATATTTGTATGTATATATATACATACATATATATAGTATTATTTCTGATATGATATGCATATTGTATTACTTAATAAGTAAGTTATATTTACTACAATCCCGTTATACTTAATGATCACTTATATTAAACTTTCCCTGTTCAAATTACTATTTGGTTTCTCTCTCTCATTAGATGCAAACTGATAAAAGCATAGCAGAGAGCCTAACATCCACTTACTATGGACCAATAAGTATGTCTAATACGGTTCAAGAAGAGAATCTACACTAATTTCCAAAGGGGTAAAAAACAAACAGACAAATCACAATGCTGACTTGGGGCAGACCAAACACTGGACCAGAACTCAAAGGACCTGAGAATCCTAGTAACTTCAGCCACTGTTCTAATTATCTAAAGCCATGTAGCAAGTGATATCCAAACAGAGTGGTTTAAAATAACCACCGATTTTATGTATTTCATCATTTTTGGAGATCAGCGGTAAGGGCAGGACTCGACGACAAGTCTTATGCTCCATGTGGCGTCGGAGGTTTACCGGTGGTGCTCAGCTGGAGTGTGAGCTGCTCGAGAGGTCCAAGACAGCTTGACTCCCATTTCTGGCACCCTGAGGCAGTGCCTGGAGGACTGAGCTCACCTGGGACTGCCAACTTTGGTGCCTACATATGGCCATTCCCGCCTGGTCATTTCAGGATAGTTATGTCCCTTACTTGGCATCTTAAAGCTCCAAGAGTAACTGTTCTAGTGTAAGAAGTGAGCGCTGCCTGGCGTTTTATGAGCCAGCCTTGAAAGGTACATAGGTCACTTGTCTGGTGACGGGCCATCTTGATTTGTCTGCTTTTGAGGACTTTCCTGGGACACCTGCAGTGCCGAAACCAAGTGCCCGGAAACCCAGATCGTTTGATCACCCTAGTGCCATACTGTATCAGTCACGGGGTCACAGAGCACCCAGATCTCAGGAAGAGACATAGACCCCTGAGGAGGTCTATGGGAGAAGGTCAAAAAAATCTGAAACTGTTTTCAAAAACACCCAGCCAGGGGCGCCTGGGTGGCTCAGTCGGTTAAGTGTCCAACTCTTGATTTTGGCCCAGGTCATGATCTTGGGGTTGTGAGTTGGGGATCTAGGCTGGGCATGAGCCTGCTTACGATTCTCTCTCTCCCTCTCTCTCTGCCCCTCCACCACACCCTCTCTCTCCCCCTCTCCAAAAAGAAAGAAAGAAAGGGACAAAGAAAGAAAGAAAATAAAAATACCCAGCCAGTTAATCTCTCCAACTCAATTTCCTTATTTCAAAGACATAAGAGATTTGGAGAAAGCAGCTTCTTTTCTTTTTTTAAGTTGGTTTTTATTTTATTTTTATTTTATTTTAAGATTTTATGTACTTATTTGACAGAGAGAGTGAGAGCACAGGCAGGAGGAGCAGCAGGGAGAGGGAGAAACAGGATCCTACTGAGCAGAGAGCCCAACGTGGGGCTCAATCTCAGGACCCTGGGACCATGACCAGTGCCAATTGACTGAGCACCCAGGTGCCCCATGAGAAAGCAGCTTCTAAACTTTGATCCATCTCTAAACTTCGAATCTATCCATGGGAAACAGAAAAGGCATCAAAAACTCTGCTTGGGGTTCATGAATTCAGTGTTGGTACATCTAGGTTGCATATAGATGACTATATTCAAGGAGAACCTCACATCACTTTTTCTTCTGGTTCATTTATTAAATTTCAGTCTGTGAAGCTGTGGGTCATTTTTTAATGAATCTTGTTCAACAAACCTGAAACTCTTTTTTTTTTTTTTTTAAGATTTTATTTATTTGACAGAGAGATCACAAGTAGACAGAGAGGCAGGCAGAGAGAGAGGGAGGGAAGCAGGCTCCCTGCTGAGCAGAGAGCCCGATGCGGGACTCGATCCCAGGACCCTGAGATCATGACCCGAGCCGAAGGCAGCGGCTTAACCCACTGAGCCACCCAGGCGCCCCCTGAAATTCTTTTAACTCGTGACTTTTATTTGTCTTCATTTCTGGGAATTTTTCTTGACTTCCATC